TGTCCGTTCCATAACCTGTGACCTTGCCCCACAACGTGCCCTGTTTCTCCTTTTGAACTGATGGGTGTCCGCTCAATGACTGTGCACGTTGGGGAAGCATTGCCCTTCCTCTAGGCGGGGACGAGCGAAAGCGTCCTGGTGTGGACTGGGAAAAGGGACTGCTCAGCCAATATAGGGCAGGCTGACCTTTAAAAAGACACCTCACCTTGGCTGACGCCCTTGTAGAGGGAATCGCCTGCATACCTGTCCCGGGGGCAGGGTCTCCTCGGGTGCTGGGGATAGACTCTGGCTTGAGGTCAGCGGGGAGCCCAAGGCTGAGGCGGGTGGCGGGTGTAGCCAACTCTGGTTTCCGGGAGGATGGCCTCAGTGCAGGGGGAGGCTTGCAGACGTAGGAGGGGTGGAGGGAGCAGGCCGAGAGTCGAGATGATTTAGGAGGTGGAGTGGACGGGATGCGGTGGCTAAGAGGGGAATCGAGTCTATGCTCGGGTTTCTGGCTGGGGCAACTGGGTCGGGTCTGGGGACAGCGTGCGCGTGGAGAAGGGGCTGCACGGAAGGAGGGAGCCACGTCTCGGTGCTGGGTGGGAGACAGGGTCAGTTTTGTAGATGTGGATTTGGAAGTCGCCTTCAAATCTTCGAAAAGAGAACCCCGCAGATTTGTGTCTGCCCTTCTCTTAGCAAACGGCCTTAGCTGCCTCGACCGCGTCTCATCGTGGGGCAGTTTGTGTGGGCACCCTCTGTCCTGTCTGCATAGGCCACCTGGAGTCCTGCACTCAGGACCGAGCACCCACTGGGACCGACTGCACAGTTTGTGTGACCACGTGGGGGTACGGTTACCGGGACTGGCAGATTTCTTCACTGGTGTTTCCCTACAAAGCATCCTCCTTCCAACCCCTGCCCTGCATCGGTCACCTCTTGGACATGACTTGAGTCCGCCTGACCTCACCTCTTACTCCAGCCACTGCTGCAGTGACCAGTTCCACACGGGCTTTGTGCAGATATGATCAGACAGCCCTGCCTTCAAGCCCCGGCACATGCCTCTCACTTCCTATCCTGTCGCTCCTTTGGGAGACGCCTACGGGAGCCTTCTGACGCCTGATCAACTCCAAATATGGGGGTTCATGCTGACGGGGCACCCTGGATCAATGAAGGTTGGGGGCTGATGGGTCATGTTTCCCTGGACAGTTCTGACACGCATTCCTTAAGGCCCCTCGGAGGGTCAATTTCATGACACGCCCTTATCCTGAATTTCCCTCCCTCTCATTTCACTCTCCCTGTCCTGTTCTTTGCATCCCTGGGACCATTTCTCAAATAAACCTCTTGTACTTGCCTTTGTCTTGGGCTCCTCTTTGGAGAAAGCTGGGCTAAGACACAACCAGTCTTGGGGCGCCTGGGTGGCTCAGTCGGTCGAGCCTCCGACTTTGGCTCAGGTCATGATCTCACAGTCTGTGAGCTCGAGCCCAGTGTTGGGCTCTGTGCTGACAGCTCAGAGCCTGGAGCCTGCTTCGGATTCTGTGTCTCCCTCTCTCTGCCCCTCCCCCACTCGTGCTCTGTCTGTCTGTCTGTCTCTCTCTGTCAAAAAATAAATAAACTTTAAAAAAATTAAAAAAATAAGACACACCAGTCTTTTCTAAACTTGGACAGTTGGCTCTTTGAACGGAAGGATGAGAATTTACATTTATCTAGGTTACATCAAATATAAATCCAGAATAGTCTGGTATCTGAACAAAGGCAGAGAGGTCGGGTCAGGAGGATCGGAGGGCTGACCTTGCCATGTGTTTTTATTTCTCAAATGGGGGAAAGGGGCTCTGTTTCCTTTGGTCGCTCAGAGAGTCTCTTAGAGGGCCTGACCATTTTTGCTTGCTTCTGGAAGCCTTTGGAACTTTCCTGATGCTTCCTTTTTAGGTTTGATCTGAGAATTAAAAAGAAAATATTTATCATTGGGCAACTTATTTCACTGTTCCTTCCTAGGTGTCTGAGCTTGGAGAAGTAACAGCCTAGAGACTTTGTTTTCTGGCAGAATTATAAAAAGGACAGTGGGGTGGCAACCCAGCAGGAGGCCGGGAGGGATTAGGGGAGAAGCTGCTGCCCACTGGGAAGGAAATAAAAAGAGCCAGCCCCATCAGAGTCTGGGGAGGAGCACAGGTCACCGGTGAAGGGGAGGGAGAGCCCCTGTCTCTCTTTGCACCTGGGGGACTGTAGCCCAGAAGATGAGGCAGGCACTATGAGGAGCGTGTGGAAAGGCAGGTCTGGTGGCCGGAGGAAGAAAGAGGCTAGCTGGGCATGAAAACAAGTGGGCCAGGTTAGGGGGCCTGCAGGGGTGGGGGTGCTGGGTGGTGTAACCCTCCTCCCCTGAGTCGTGCTCCACGACAGGGGAAAGGGACGGGGCACATGACAGGGGAAAGGGACGGGGCACAGGGGTTTCTCCTGCAAACCCCAGGAGAAAGGTCTTCAGGTCTGACTAAGTACAGTCATAGACAGACATCGCAAATCCTTCTTGTTCCGCTAACAGATCAGAACTGGGGAGAGGGGACCATAAAGATGCAGAAACAGCACTAGCCTGAGTCTCCGTTCTGTCTCTTATGAGCGCAGGACCCATCGCTTAACCTCTCTGGGCCTCGGTTCCCTCATCTACAAAATAGGAATGATAATGCACACCTCACAGGTGGCAGGGAGGCATGATGGTTAATTTTATGTATCAATTTGGCTGGGCCACGACTGACATCTGGCCCAGTACCCATCTAGATGTTGCTGTGAAGGTATTTTGTAGATGAGATTAATGTTTCAATCAGTGGACTTTGAATACAGCAGGTGACGCTCCATAATGGGGGTGGGCCTCACCTAATCAGTTGAAGGCCTTAATAGCCAAGGGTTGACCTCCCCCAGTGAGGAGGGAATACTCCCAGCAGACTGCCTTTGGACTTGAGCTGCAACATCAACTCTTTCCTGGGTCTCTGGCCTAGGCTGCTAGCCCATCCTTCGGATTTTGATGTGGGGCTTGCCAGCCCCCCGCAATCATGTGAGCCAATTCCTTAAAATCTCTTTCTCTGCACACACACACACACATACACACACACACACCCTGTTGCTTCTGTTTCTCTTGGAGAACCCTAACACAGAGGAATTAAATGATAAGACTATTGTGGCCGATGCCCGACACAAAAAGTACAGACTGTGGGATTCCATTTATAGAAGATTCTAGAAAAAGCAAACCTAATCTATAGTGACCGAAAGTAGATCTGTGGTAGCCCAGGCTGGAGCTGGGAGAAGGAACTGCAAATTCGGGGGATGATGGAATGAAACCGAGGAGAATGCATTTATTAAACTCATTGATTTGTACCCTTGAAAGGGGGTGCGTTTGGTGTTGGGACCACTGGAATATGCACATACAAAAGAATGAAGTTGGATCTTTTCCTTGTATCGTAGACAAAAATTGACTGAAAATGAATCATAGACCTAAATGTGATAGCTCGAGTTACAAAACTCTTAGGAGAAAATACAGGAGTACTTCTTGGCTATGAATCCCTTATCAGACCTATAACTTGCAAGTATTTTCTCTCATTCTGTAGATTGCCTTTCTGCGGAAGGCTTGCTTTGCTGTGCAGAATTTTAGTTTCATAGAGTCCCACTGATGTTTTTTTGTTTTTGTTTTTTTGCGCCTGCTTTCCATGTCAAACCCAAAAACTCATTGCTGATGATTTCAAGGAGAGTACTCCTTATGTTTGTTTTCTGGAGGTTTCACAGTTTCAGATCTTACGTTTAAGTCTTCAACCTGTTTTGAGTTGATTTTTGTGTATGGTGTAAGGTAGGGGTCCGGTTTTGTTCCTTTGTGTGTGGAGAGCCAGTTTCCCCCACACCGTTTATCAAAGAGACAACGGTACCTCCTTTGCTCCTTTGTCTAAATCCATAACCATACACGCACGGGTTTATTTCTGGGCTCTCAGTTATGTCCCATTGACCTGTGTGTCTGTTTTTATGCCAATACCGTACTATTTTGGTTACTATAGCTTTGTAATGTAGTTTGAAATCAGGAAATGTAATGTCTCTGACGTTGTTCTTCTTTCTCAAAACTGCTTTGGTTACCCAGGGTCTTTCATGATCCCAAACAAATTTTAAGATTTTTTTTTTTTTATTTCTGTGAAAAATGCCATCTTGCTAGGGATCGCACTTCTGCAGATTGCTTCTATCAGTCATCAGGGAAATGCAAGTCAAAGTCACAATGGGATATCATCTCACATCTTTTAGAAAGGTTATCCTCGAAAAGATGAGAAGTAACACGTGTTGGAGACATGAAGAGAAAAGAACCTTCGGGCACGGCTGGTGAGAGTGGAAATCGGGGCAACTACTTTGGAAAACGGTATGGGGGTTCCTCAAAAAATTTCAACTAGAACTTCCGTACGATGCGGCAATTTCTCTCCTGGGTGTTTACCCAGAGATAGCTATACCCCCACACTCGTTGCAGTATTATTCACAATAGCCATAATGTAGAAACAACCTAAATGCCCATCGACGGACGAACGGATAAAGAAGGTGTGGTATAGACATGCAATGGAATATTATTCAGCCAGGAGAAAGAAGGAAATCCTGTTTGCGGCAACACAGATGCATCTTGAAGGCATGGTGCTGAGTGAAATAAGCCAGACAGAGAAGGATTAATACCACATAGTATCACTTACGTGGAGAATCTAAAAAAAAAAAAGTGAAACTCACCAAAGCGGCGAAGAGAAAAGTGGTTGCCAGGGCCTGGCGTAGGGGTGGGTAACCGAAACAGAGAGAGGTTGATAAAAGGATACAAACTTTTAGCTAGAAGATGAGTAAGGTCTGAGGATCGAATGTAAAACATGGTGATTATTGTTGATTACCCTGTGGCGTATAATTGAAATTTGCTAAGAGAGTAGAAATTAATGTTCTCACACACACACACACACACACACACGCAACCACCCACAAACGTGGGAGGTGATGTGATAATTAACTAGGTGGGGAGAATCCTTTTCACAATGTATACCCAGATCCAATTAACTTTTAATTATCTTAGAATTTTGTCACTTATACCTCAATAAAGCGGAATAAAAGGAAAAAAAAATGAGTTTTGTTGTATACAAATTATACTTCACTAAAGTTGAATGACGATTCTAAAGCGTGTGGGTACGCCTGCTCCCCCATCTCATAGAGGAGGTAACAGGGGTTAGGTACCTTGCCCAAGGTCAATGGCTATACCGCCAGCCCATCATGACCACTGCAGGGGCTGGGGGCCTAGAGGATCCTGGTACCCAGAGGTCCTCTCATCCCCTTCGGCTTTGATCCGCATCGGGCCCCATGTCTCAGATCCCGCAGGCCCTCTCCCAAGCCCCGGGGCAGTATTTCCACCCCCTCTGGCACATCCGCTTCGGTGAAGCTGTCCTCCCAGAGTCTCCGGGGCCCCAGGAGCTGGGACTCTCTTCTCCTCACAGGTTGCTGGGAGTCTGGGCCCGAGGCCCTGACTGCCGCACAGGCCGTGGGCCCCAGGCTGTGAGTCAGACCTGGGTTTGAGGCCTCGCCCCATTTCTGAATTGCCGTGTGACTGCTTCTCTCTCGGCCTTGGTTTCCTGTTTATAAAACAAAGGATCAGACGGTGTGATCCAGGGTCCATGCGGCCTCCGAGCTGCGTGGGCCTGAGCAGGCCAGCGCCTGTGGTGTGTCTGAAGGGGAAAATCTGGGCCCGTGACAGCATGCACTGATGAATTCAGCCACAGCTGGCTTTGTCAGCCCACCCCGACCTTGGTGACGTGACGACACAGCGTTTAGCTTTACAAGCTCGAGTTCCCCGGTTGAAAGACCGCCTAGCTGTTTTCAAATAGCTTCTGTCTCCCCGAGGGCCTTCCAGCTTTCTGATGGCGACTGTCCACCCCTCCCCGATCTCCCGCTGTCTCGGCAAGCCGGGTGGGATTTCTGAATATTAAACAGGGAGGTGACCGTGTGACCCTTCAGGAATGCTTCCACCCCGCTGCATTGGGCTCAGAGACCACGTTGGGATTCGTTCCTAGGTTTAACTCACGTTCCAGGGGTTTCGGCTAATAACAGATTTATCTGCAGAATGAGAGAAGAGACAGAGCTGAGCAAGACATGAGGGGCAGATATGAGAAAGAGAGGCAGGGAGACCGATAGGTGGGAAGTCGTGCGTGGAGTTAGAGCCTGAGGTGATACGTACCTGGGTGTGAATCCCGGCTTCCGTCTGGGGGAGGATTAAAAGTTAAGGTATGTAATTCCTGTAACAGTGCCTGACATCTAATTGGCCCTTAATAGACGTTCCTTCTGGACACCCTCTACCATCGTCTCTCTCGCTCTCTCCACAGGCTGCTTGCCCTTTGGGAGCAGGGACTGTGTCCTATTCATCTCTGGGTCCCGGCTCCTGGCCCAGGGACTGCCCTACAAATATCGGCGATCGAAGGAGCTCGATGGTGGGTGAAGTGCCCCGAGGGGCGCCAGCCTGTGGAGGCAGTGGGCAGTCGCCCCAGGGTGCAGACCGAGGGGCAGCTGTGGCTTGTGGAGAGACCCTTGTGTACTGATCCCACATCCCTTTTCTCCTGGGGCCCAGGTCTCTGCTAGTCCCCCCGATGTGCACTTCAGAACCTCTGTCCCTCTATCCGGCTCCCTGTGCTGGCCGTCCAGTTGCCGTGGAAACCGGTGGTTTCACACAGGACAAAGCACAGGGAGACTCGGCAGGGAACAGAAACTTGCAAACATGTTATGCAGCATAAAAGAAAAAAAAAAGAGGGTCTGGGAAACTGAGTGTAATAAAGGTTTTCACGGCCACTTGTGTGTGTGTGCGGGGGGGGGGGGGGGGGGGGAAAACCCAAACCAAAAAAAACCCCCGCCCAAAGGGTTTTTTCAAGTAACCCTGTGTCTTTTGGTCTGGTTTTGGTTTTTGTTGGTTTTTTGGGTGGGGG